CAAATGGGACAATTTGGAAACGGTTCTTTGATAAGCCCGAGAAGAGGACCTCCCTTTGGGCCTTGAGCCTCCTCTGCATGGTGTCCCCATGCACCCAAGGGCATTTCCCCCTCTCCAAGCGGACCCCCTCGTGGAGAAGAAGGGCCAGGCGGTGACCGCAGGCCTGTTAGACGAGCAGGAGCACAAGAGGACGATTCGTCTCGGGAAGGCCGTGGCCGGCCGTGCGCTCAGCCATCATTTGAGTTTGCATGTTTCTCTGCACTATGGAGTCCGAGCATTTAGATTTCTTTAATCAAATGCTTTTTAACCCCTACAGTAGACGTTTTCTTTCTGAGGCATTGTGCTTTGCATGAGAGCAGCCCAGAAGTTGAGAGGGAAAAGTAAAGTTAAAGTCGGTTCTCTTTCATAGCAGCACGTCTTATCTGACATTCAGCCAGCTTAAAATTTTTTTCAGTAATTCCCCTGTCTTCCTGTCCTGTATTCAGGAAAAGCAGTTAGGACGTTTTCCCCTGAACTGAGAGTGACAGACAGGGTGTGTGGCTCTGAGGCCTAGCAGTAGACTCCTTAGAGGAGTAGTGACTCGGCTAGATGACGCAGCCACTACCTGGCCTGCCTGGGGCGTTGCAATTCTTTCTGCGTTTGGTTTTCAGGAATTACATGAACGACAGCCTTCGCACAGACGTTTTTGTGAGGTTCCAGCCCGAGAGCATCGCCTGCGCCTGCATTTATCTCGCCGCCCGCACGCTGGAGGTCAGTGCCGTGCCGCCGCAGGGCGTCCGCTTGGCCTCTCGCCGGCCTCCAGGCAGCTGTAATGTGGTGGTGTTTGAATCACCTTCTTCGGCGCCAATAAGCCTCGTTTTTATTGCCCTGGGAGCAAGGACAGGAATAATCGTGATCGCCTTTGTGTTTACAGATCCCGTTGCCTAACCGTCCGCATTGGTTTCTTTTGTTTGGAGCAACTGAAGAAGAAATTCAAGAAATCTGCTTAAAAATCTTGCAGCTTTATACAAGGAAAAAGGTTCTTTCGTGTTTTTTCGTGTAATGTGGATGTTTGTGTTTGACTAGAAGCATCTGGTCTGAGCAGATGGGTTCGGGCCTTTACAGGTCGATCTGACACACCTGGAAGGTGAAGTGGAAAAGAGAAAGCACGCCATTGAAGAGGCAAAGGCACAAGCCAGGGGCCTGCTGCCCGGCGGCCCCCAGGTCCTGGACAGCACTGCGGGGTTCTCGCCTGCCCCCAAGCCAGGTGAGTGTCGGGCGCGTCAGTCAGCCCCTTGCCCGGTGGGGTAGCCCTGTTCGCCTCAGGGCCGCTCCTTGGTCACGTCTGCACCTAGTCTGAGCAGTCGGCAGGCCCCGAGTCCACTGCAGACACTTGGAAATCTCTGAAATGGGCCAGGCCTCCTAAAGCAGGGATCCCCAACACCTGGGCTGTGGACTGGTACCTGTCAATGGTCTGTTAGGAACTGGGCCGCACAGCAGGTGAGCAGTGGGTGGGCAAAGCTTTATCTGTACCTGCAGCTGCTCCCCGGCGCCAGCATCACCGCCTCAGCCCCGCCGCAGGTCATCAGGCATCAGATGCTCATAGGAGCACCAGGGACTGCTGTCCTAAAGGGTTTTGTCTTCATTGTTCTCTACCCAGTTAGCTTGTCTCTTGAGAAAAGCTGTATAAAGCTAGGGTGGTAGATTGTGTTGTCAGGTCCTAGAGTTAAGCACGAGATCCCTCCCCCAGCCCCCGAGGGAAGGTGAGCCAGGCAGGTGGCCGCCCACATCTTCGAGGTGTGCCTTTAGGTTTAGAGTCCACGGCTGGGAGCAGGAAGGCAAATAGTCCGTAGGAGTGCGTCATCTTGCTCTGCTGACCCTGTCGGAAGTTTACCGGCGGTCAGGTTTGAACTTCCAGTATCTGATTCTAGCAGAATCCCCCAAAGAAGCTAAAGGGAGCAAGGCTTCCCCGCTGTCTGTGAAGAACGCCAGGAGGAAAGTGGAGGGTACGAAGAAAGCCAAGGGTGACAGCCCAGTGAACGGGTGAGTGCCCGGGTGCCCCAGCGGGCCGTGCGGCGGGCCAGGGTGACGTCGGGTGCGTTACCACTCCCTCCCTGTTCTCAGCTTGCCAAAGGGCCGAGGGAGCCGGAGCCGGAGCGGGAGCCGTGAGCAGAGCTACTCGAGGTCCCCGTCGAGGTCTGCTTCTCCTAAGAGGAGGTGGGTGCTGCCGGAGGCTCACCAGGACGGGTGGGCATTTCCCTGGGGCGGGCAGGTGGTCACATGCTCGGCGGTGCTGTGCTTCACAGGAAGAGCGACAGTGGCTCGACATCCGGTGGGTCCAAGTCTCAGAGCCGCTCACGGAGCCGGAGTGACTCGCCGCCAAGACAGGCGCCCCGTGGTGCTCCCTACAAGGGCTCCAAGGTGAGGAGCTATCGGAAGTCCAAGGACTGCAAGTGCCCAGCGCAGAAGCCACACAGGCCTCGCGGCCGCAGCTCATCCCACTCCCGGAGCCGCTCCCGGGAACGGGCAGACAATTCTGGAAAATACAAGAAGAAAAGTCACTACTACAGAGATCAGCGACGGGAGCGTTCGCGGTCTTACGAGCGCACGGGCCATCGCTACGAGCGGGACCACCCTGGACACAGCAGACATCGGAGGTGAGGTGCGGCCCAGAGGGCGGTCCGTCCACCCTCGGCTGCACCCCTCGGTGTGACTGCCCTGCAGTGCAGCTCTTTGTGAATGGCTGTTGACTCTGGACCTCGTGATGAATTTGGAGATGGAAGCAAGGGGCCCTGTAGGCCGGCCTGGGCGCAGTGCGCACCCGTCCGGCACAGGGTCCCCCCAGCCGCACCCCGCGGCAGCTCGATGCAGAAGCAGGCATGCACATCCTGGAGGTGTGGATTGGTGCTAATGACAGGCTGTCTTCACTCCCATATCGAAAACCAATTACGTTGAACCAAGAACAGGACTCTAAACCAAGAACAGGACTCTAGAACCTTTGCCTATATTAGGTTGTACTTATGTACATATTTTGCAGTGTTTCACAATGAGAAAATGGCCTTAATAGCCCCTTATTCTCTATCCACGTTGTAAATAAACATGTGTTAATACAAGTTTAAAGCTGCATATGAAAACTCAGAACTTGAATTCTGTCAGCTTAAAACTTGTGTAGAGAATTCTGATTTTTAAAATGTGAAGGTATTTAGATCTGTGTTGAAAGTCGTATATTTTTATCTGTGCGATGCTGAGTGCAGGCCACCAGCTCCTAAATAGAGGTTTCCTATATATGCATTTTATGTGGTTAAACACAATTCTCTCTACTCAGGATATTTGGAACATTAAAGAATTCGTAGTTTGTCATTCTGCTTGCTTGTCACTGTGCACAGCCCGCAGTACGCGTTCTAGTGGCATGTCTGCGCTGCCGTCTCTGATCTCATTAAAGTTGGCTTTTATACTGAGCTGCTGCGCGCCCGCTCTTGCGTCCAGAGTTGCGTGGCCCCGAGCTGCTGCCCTGTGGGCAAAGGGAAGGTTTGAAGAGAGCACGGCTTGCATGTGAGACACTGGTTTGGAACCCACGGCACGTGTATCAAGCTGGTGGTGTCCCCCTCAGGGTGGGTAGCACGTGAGTGTGCAGGCAGGTGGGCGCAGATGAGCAGGGTGGGCCTTGGGGCCGTTTCTCAGCCCTGTGTGGGCCCTGAGAATCCAGGCCTGCTGGGGACTGTCACACACCTAGCGTCAACTCACGCCAGACCAGCACCTCTGTGCGGGTGGGAGGCAACTAGATACGGCTTTCCTGGTACCAGTGGGCCTGGACAAAGGTGTCTGGAACTCAGTACAGCCAAGAGAATGTGAGAGTGACAGGGTATGCAGCTAGGGTCCAGGGGACTGGCTCTTAGACCAAATCATGAAAACCGGAAGCCGTGCAGCGGGAGTGAGGAGGGCTCGAAGGCACGTTCACAGACCTTCCTATTTGGGAACCCAGAGCAGCCTCTCTGGAGGTGAGAGTACAGCATCATCTCGTGACCTCGCTGCAGAACAAGACCGGGAGCTGGTGGCCTTGCCCTCCCACTAGTGTCCAACGTGCACTGCTTAGTTAGCTTGGGGCAGGGGGTGACCAGGCCCGACCATCCACTGCTGACGCCAGCAGACTGTCCTGCAAGGCAAGCCTCTGGGCAGAGTCGCCAACAGGACTCCACCTGAGTCCCCCCGTCCCTTTCCTACCAGGTGCCCCTGCAGGTCCATTCTAGGGATTCTATCTGTCCCAGCCGGCCCCAGCGAGGACAACGGGGCCTTTGCAGACTAGAGGTGAGTGGTGCTTTGTAGCAAAACGGGCTCAGCCAAACCTAATCCTCCACGGGGCCTGCATTTTTCGACAAAAATTGAAGTTCCTGATTTTTCCCTTCCACAGGTACGTTTGGGAGTTTGCTTTTAAAAAGGAAAGGAAATCCACCTATGTGAAAAACATGTTAGCCCGCATTAGACGCAGGCCTCCACTTATCCGGCCTGGCGGAGGGAAGGAAGGCTGCCAAGCTGGGGAATGGGGCGGAACCCGGCTCGGCACTCCTGGTGTCCGCGCTGCGGGAACGGGAGCCCGGGCCGCCATCGCCTGAGTCACCTTCACTCTCCGCCTCAGGGGTAGGGGTAGGGGTCGGGGTCGGGGTCGGGGTCGGGGAGGCCGGGCCCCGCAGGGTCAGCTGCTCTGGGCCCTCCGCCTCCAGCCCGAGCGGGCGCGAGCAGTGCTGGCCGCTTCCGTCGCTCCGCGAATTCCACTTCCGTCGCCTGGAAAACATCCCTTCCGCAGTCCAGAGACTCCACTTCCGCCTGCCTTGGAGGACCCGACCCTGCCCGGTCGGGTTGCGGCGCGGGCGGGGCCGCGCAGGCGCAGAGGGCATCCCTGGGATTGTGGGAAATGTGGTTTTCTCGCCTCGGTAAGGGCAGGGCGGAGCTGGCGCGCTCCTCTGGCCGGAAACCGCCGCTTTCTGGGCTCGGCGCGGCCTGCACCGACTCGGAGTCGGGGCGTCGTGAGGGCGCCAGGGGGCGCCGGGCGTAGGAACCGCCGAGAGGCCGCACGCCGGGCTGGGGGCCCGTTTTGGAACGGACCGGAAGTGCCTGAACGCCGCTGCGGAGTAGTCCGTTTGAGTCCCCTTTGTCGGGTCTGCAGAGGGTGGGTGGGCGCCCGCGGCGTGCAGGCTCCACGGACAGCTGAGCGAGCTGCCGGACGGGGACCGCCCTTCGGGGCCTGGGACCCACCGTGGTCGCGCTGCGCGGGTCACGGCCTTCTGCGCGTTAGTATGTCGACGCCGCCCCACATGGTGGTTGCCTCGGGGTGAAGCTGAGGCTCTGGGAGGGTCGGTGACCTGCCCAGAGTCGTGCAGCTGGGGAGTGGCGGCGGCGGGGTTTGTGCTCGAGTCGGGTCGTTTCAGGGAGTGAGTGGTGTTTGAGGTGACATACTCACAGTGGGAGAGGATGGTGAGGTGACGGCATGCGGGGGTCGGAGCAGGACCGCAGTTCCCAGTCCTTCCGGCCCGCCCGGGGCTGCTGCCCGCGCCGCGGGGCGCTCCCGCGTGACCTCAACGCACGCTTGTGTTCTAGCTTCCCTGTGCTCCTGGGGCCACCGTCACCCACAGACCATGTTCCTGGTGCGACTGACTTCTCAGCTGCTCAGGGTTGTTCCCCGGGCAGGTAAGGTCCCGTGGGGACAGATGGGCGGGATGCACACCCATCCCTGGGTTAGTAGTGTGGGGCTAAGCTGCTTTACCTTAGCAGCTGGAGGCGGGGGCCTGGCCACACAGACTCCCCCGCCATCATCCAAGCATCTCAAGGGGGA